CCCTGCATACCTACCTCAGCTCTCCATATGTCCCCCCGTAATCCCACTAGCCTACCATAGCCTATCCCTTTGTCGATTCAGAAAGCAACACTAGGATTCCACCAGTCATTTGTCCAAAGTTAGGTCGAACTGGCAGGCTGCGAAACTAGCTACAACTACAGCGACTGCCAAATTGATGCCAAGCATCTGGAAAATTCTCGGGGGTCATTGGCACTTGCCTTGGATAGGCACCGGCATGTCCTAGTGAAATCACGGTGGCAGCAGTCATGGTGTCGAATAGCTGTGACATAACCTCTGTCCCAAAAACAGGGTCTCCGCTAAACAAGGTCAAACCGGCGTTAGCGGAAACGTTCCAAAAGATATGCTGTTCACTCCCCTGCCGGTCTTGTCTAGTACTAAAATTACGCATTGCGTGTGTTGTTGGTCGGCGAGCCTGGTTTTGTGTTTTTCAAAGTATCGGGAGGTTTGCTGTTCGTCCCATGCTGGCCTGTGTTTTTTAGCACGGCCCAAATTTCAGTGCAAGAATATGCTCAAAATTGAGAATTCATTGGATGATTTTGGGTGATCTTGGCATCGCTTCGGGTTGTGCAGGAGATGTGTGCTCGCGACTTATTTCTTGTTGATTGTATGCAGACTGTGTACTTCAGAGTATCTGAGACCCTTCGGCATCTCCTCATCTTGCACTTTCGTCAATGCTGTGCAACTTTTGAGGTTTTGCATTCTCGTTTTTGCCCACATATTACAAGGCTTGCATTGCGTGACGCGCTGGCTAGTGCTTTGAGCATGTGGCCGAATCTTGAACATTCGCACATTCTCACAAAACACGACTTGGCCAATTTGCCGACTATGTTGATGTTGGATTGTGCTGCAGCATATTCTACCATGGATGTGATTATCCGCTCCTGCACCATCTCCTGCCACCTCCCCCCCCAACTCACCCAAGGGCAAATATTTCTGGTGTGACAGTAAACTAAGGATGCAAAACCCCCTCCTGGCTGTAAAGACCCCTAAAAACCTGCCAGCAATTTTGCCAGCCCCTCGACGACCCTTGAAGTATTGCATTATGAGCCTTGCATTCCCCCGCACTTCGGGGCACAACCCCAAAACAAGGGCGCAGCTTTGAAGCATCCCTTGTGATGAACGCAGCTTCTTGCGCCCTTGACTGTCCAGTACACCACTATAGTCTATGACGCTCTTTACCACATACACACATCTGCGGGTCCATGGAAGTCATTATTTGCGATTAGCTTTGGTTAATGAGGGACCCTCTGAGCCCTGCATGAAGTTGGTCAGCTAGGTTTCTGGCTCAGGGTTCTAAGATATCAGATTTCAGAGTTTGGTTGTAGGCGTAGGGTTGATAGCTTCATGTTTAGGATTTGGAGTCAGGGGTTTGGATATCAGGTTTCTGTTGGGTCAAGCAGCTTCGAGCTTGGCGATGCGCCCACCTGGGCCTGCCGACATGCTTCTCTTAAACATGGAAGGAACATCATTATCATGGAGACTGGCCCAAGGTTCTTGAGCTGATGCCTAATATCATGTCTATGCTTCGATTTGACTGCAACTATGGCCGCTCTTTCACATGGGCGCTATAGCGCTAGCAATGCGTGCCTGTGGCTGCGGGGTTGGCGGCAACATGAAGTCCTCCACCTCCTCTGCGACCTTCCCAGAACGGCATGGCCCCGCTATTTGGAATTCCTAAAGTTCAAGGTGCTGGTTTTGGTGGTTGGACCAAGCGAGAAAGCTATAACCAAAACGGGAACATCATCTTACGCAATAGTATCCCCATGCAAAGTATGTTTGTTCCTCAATGCATTGAAGGCGTACGACCTTGTTTTCATCATCATCACCACCATCAATATCCTAGTGCTTGATGTTTGGACCTGCATTAACCGCATGAGGATTGCTGCGCAACATAGCGCCCTATGTTGCTGAGCTCGCTTAGCATTCCACAACCAGATTGCTGGGAGAAAACTTCACAGTAGTACCCCATACTGCTCTCGGGTAAAAATGGTAGATATCTTGGCAGAACCTAGTTGTGCAAGTCTTCAGAAATGCTGCTGCCGAGCCACGGCATGCTCCGAGACTTTCGCAAGTCCTGGTATCGAGCCTGGAAGCAAAAGTGGGTCTAAAGCAGAATATATGTAAGCAAACACCGTGGAATATGAGAAGTGCTAAGGAATTGCAAGTGTCTTGACAAGTCTGAGTCCACATCAAACACAGCACGAATTATGAGAATGGCACAATCTGCTGTCTTCCTCGCCTGCCGAGGGCCCCATCAACGGCGTGCCGCTGTGGCTGCGACGCCCTCCACGCCTAAGCCGAGTGTGTCGTCGCTGCCTTACGAGCAACCTTCAGTGGTGCCAGAGCTTGCGCAATAGAAGATGAAGGGGCGGCAGCAGTAGCACTAGTTACAGCAGTACTACTTTTATGCAGCTTTATGCAGAAAATGTGCGCAATTGCGACGTCTTAGCTCAATCCCAGTATCAGCTTACTGTGCATATTACCTGAATCTCAAACCCCCTTCAACTTTGAGATATATGAAGGCCCGAAATGTTGACAAACATGCTGCAACAGTCAAATGCTGACAAGACGAAAGGGCGCCGGCTGTCCATGCAGAACAGGGGACCTTGCCCAAAACGAATCACAGGCTACATGCCTGCGCAGTATCATAAATTTCGTGGTGATTGCTCTCGAAACCGGCAAGGCTCAGAAAACCCCCTTGCTCTACAGTAAGACAAGTGCAATATCCTGCATTTCTGACTCATCAAACAATAGCACACCCTCACAGGCCAAGCCATGCACCTCATGGGCCAAAGCATGGGCGACTGGGTCTCATCGTCGGAAAGTGACGCCCACCTGGTGCCCACAACGCAGCCAGGCTCTTCAAATTACCAGACGGATATGAAGCCTCGGTTCACTCGAAGCTTTACATCCAAACTCTTACATAACAATGCCGTAATGTCCGATGTGTTTCTTCTAGCTCCCCCAAGCAGAAGCTGCATCAACTCTTGCACTTTCGGGCCTGCGGCGTGCTCCCTCTGCAGCAAACGCCTGACTGTACGCAAACTGCGTGCACCCAGCACGCCTAGATCCTTCAAACAAACATCGCGTTGCTGCTAACATGACCTCAGAGCCCTTGTACAACGTTTTCGAAATACTGCTTCCACCCACGCACACTTGCCAAGAATTGCAACGCATGTGTATATGACAGTTACAGGGCTGGGGAAACAAGTCTGGACAGCGACTGGCGACGGCTTTTACTCAGAGGATTCCGGGCCATTCTCACTTGCCAAGATTTACTGCCGAGCATATTTCTCGTGTGATTCATTCGGCAGCAGCCAGACAGCAACGATGGCACGAATCCGCAAGAGGTCGCGAAGTACTGCAAACCCTCCTGTGTGAATCCAAAAAAATGATAGCTTCAGAGAGCTCTGAAGCCTTGAACTTAAAACCCTTGGTTATCTCTGCATGGCTAGCACATAAGTTCCTACACTGTTCGGAATTTCCCGAAAGTCCCATTGCTTGCGCTCAGAAGAAACCCAACAAAAATTGTTGTGCCATCCTATCTAGGATGCCAGGGGAACGGCATTCGCTTGCCGGCTGCGCCATACGGGCGCAACTGCCGGAGACATGCCCGGGGACGGATACGCTGCCAGGTCCAGCCCGGGGTGCACCTCTTAAGATTTAGGGCTTGCAGTCCAAGGCTTGGCGTTTAGGTCTTCGGGTTTACGAATTACTGCACGGCAAGGTTTGGGGTCGAGGGTGCCAGCAGTCTTTCAAACGTTTTAACGTTGAAGAAGGGTCTCAGGGTTGGAGGAATATATAGTGTTTACGGACAGCAGCTGTTTGTTCAAGAATACGGTTTCCCTATATACACGCTGAAACTGACATATCTTGTCTCTGTAAGCATTAACCTGTCGCTGCAAGCAAACACATGTCGTGGTAAGCAACCCCCCTTCATCCTAAAGGATCCAATGCTTTGTGAATCGGGAATCCAGAGGGACAAAAGGCGGACTACCTGAAGAGCACACCATTCTGACGTGGCTGTCCAAACGAGTCATCGATGTCAATGCTTTCGTTAAAGTTGACACAATCATGTTGTGACATGTTGTGCGTAAGCTATTCAACCTGTGTTCAGGGTTTGCAGCGATAGGTAGCTTCAGAAGCGCGACTGACAATCGCTGAGCAGTTGGCAGCTCTCCTGCGAGTACCATGTTCAAAAGAACATACTAGGTAAAGTAACCAAAGCAGTTTTGAATCCGCTTCAAACAGCCCAATCAAGTCTTAAGGGAAGAGAAGGTTGCTAGCCATATACTCAGAGCTTAGAGTTTGGGCCCTCCCGTCAAAGTTGACAGGATCCCTTCCACTTAGGGGGTTGAAGGGCCAAGAGAAGGGCCGCATGGAATTGTCCTTGCGAACTCTGGAAGATGATGATGGTGGTGGCAGCGGCGGCGGTGGTGGTTGTGAGATTGTTTACCACTTGAAGAAGCTACAAAACAGCATTAGTGGACTTACACCAGAATCGGAGCCTCGTCAGTCATGGATGACCAGCGCCGCCTCCCACCTGACAGCCACATAGGCTTGCCAACTCTGCAAATGTGAACACTTCAGGTGCAGCACAACAGATACATGCTTCAAACTTCAAACTGTGGAGCCAATTTCATGGGAGGACCTTTCCTGAAGGAGCCTGTTTCTGGTTTGGTCGTTCCTGTAAGGGTCACAATTGAGTCATCCGCGCGAGCTCTCATCAGAGAATACACAGCAGCACTACTACTTCCAGATTTCAGCACAGCTTGCTCTGCCTTGCGAACTCAGCGGCGTCTCCTGAAAGGCTCTGACCAGAACAAGCCGAAGCATCAAACAAAGCTGGGCCGCTGACCTCTCTTCAGACCCTGCTGTCATCGTCGACACGCTCCCTCTTGAAAAGCATGGCAGTACGCATACTTTTTGTTCACCTTTTGCACCGCACGTTCGGAAAACTTGATCTTTTCCCTACTCATTCATTTCTGGCCTGAAGGGCCGCCAATTTGTTCGTAATGATCCATCTTGCAGTATGTCTCTTGACAATAAGCCACTGTGCAGTGGTAACTGCCCCGTGCGCAGGCTATCTTTGAGATCCGATCCGCCTGGGCTTTGGTGCTTAGGGGCTGCATCTCCACGTCAAGAAAGCCAACGGACTTCCATCCATCAGGTTCTGGATATCGTTCGTCGCAGACTTTCGTCGCTGCCTCCATGGTAGAGTTTGAGTTCAGTTCGCGGTCCTCGCAATGTCCGCTGAGGAAGCAATACTTTGCATCGTTTTCATCTTGAGGATGCTGCTGCAGTACCTGGTGATAAACCTGGTGAGCACTGCGTGTGAGATCTTGATCTACCAGGCAACTCTTCACCACATTGTCCCAGTTGCTCTGGAAGTAGCACCAGGAGGTCAAGTCAGGCTCGCCAGATGCTGTTGCAATCTGCTTGTCCAACTTGTCTTCGCTTTGGAGTTTGCCCGTATGATTCAAGCAGTCAAAAGTCTCGGTGCAGAGCCAGGAGGCCTGCGAGCAGAAGACCTTGGTAGCCAGAACATGAAGCCTTCTTGCCTTGGAGTCCTCTAGACTCTAGACTGCCTGCACTAGTTCTGGGAACCATACTCTTTTTTTGTACGAATCCAGTTGCCACGTTAAAAGATCTAGAATCTGAAATAACAGCTATAACTAGGACAACCATGAGCAGCTGAAGGAAACAATAACAGGAAGGTCCCGGTCAAGCACCCTCCCCACTAGCCGTCAGTAGCATGTCATCTGGCCTCACTGAACTCTTCCTGGATTGGCTGGAGGGCTGGCGGCTTGGCGCGCTTGTTGTACGCGCTTCTCTGCACAAAACCCAGGCCCTGCACAAACATTGCTGCTTAGACTGATAAATTTGAGCTCAGGCTTTGAATTCAAAAGTTGTTACTACACCGCCCATACCAAGTGTGGATAGAACGCAGGAGCCCTCTGACCCCATTCAGCCTAATTGACAGGTTTGGGGGGGGCGCCGTACAAGTGCGATAGCTTGCCATCAACATTGGAAACCAGGTTGAGAATGACATGGTTGACATGATTGCTACCCTGAATGAGGGAAATCTTGCACGATGCAAGAACACCAAAGCAAGGAAATCCCCCGGATGGAAGGTGGATCAGGTTGTGAAGGTGTTCTCCATTGACAGCGCTGCCGTTGTTGGCATGACTTGGTGGTACCAATACTCTCCATGGTAATCACGTGGCCCCTCCTGGAAACTCGGGCTGACAGGTTATCTGGTATCTAGGAAGCCCAAACAAAAACATAGAATCTAGCTATTTCCTGTGGGGTCTTTGAAAAACAGAGAAGGTCTGTTTGGCATATGCCTGTTGGACTCACCTATAGGAGGAAACCCTCTTACGGGCATCTCAGGAAGACCCTGCCTCAGGTTGCGGGCAATCTGCCGCTGCTATCGGAAGAACTGCGCCGCATAACCTTGGAAAACCGTGCACAGCAGACCTCTGTCAGATGGATCCGAAGAGAGTCTACCTAATAAGATGACATGGTGCTACATATTGCGGGCTCGCCTTGCATTAGACAACTATTAGACTTATGTGAATTCTCGCGTAGTCATGCCTACTGCCGCGAAAGGATCAGCACGTGCCTCAGATTTAGCTCTAGACACTGCGCATGTCTGTGGTGATGACGATCTTTTGTGAAGTACATCTCGGGAACATGGTGGGATCTCGTTTTAAAAAGGACAAAATGGGTTTAAGGTTTGGGCGGCCTAGGAGCTACTATCCAGAATCGCCTGAAATCCAACCCGTTCCCGTATGTTCAATCTGGCGACCGGCAAAAAAAAAGGTTTTTGGGATCCTGTTATCCTGGTCCCTCTCAAAAGCCTCCCAACCTTTTGGGCGGCTCACATCGGAGGACCCTATGTTCAAACCAACACAAGCACCTACTGGCTCAGGAATGCTGGCAATTAGGGCAAGGACAGTTGGGCTCAGGAACACTGGGGAAATCGGGCGACACAAGAGACTGAGTCAGGAAATCAAGATTTAACAAAGCCAAGTTTGTCAAGCCCTGATCGCCTTTTTCCTACCATCTATTGATTGCTGGTTGATTCAGGGGGCAGCGCACGTCTCCATCTAAACATGGATGCCGCCCCCGATTGGGATTTCCGGGTCTTGAGGCTTTGCGGCTGCTGACTGCATGACTGCAGGACATCCTGCAGGATTTGCTGTTCAACTCTATACTTCGCTCCGACCTCCGCAAAAAAAGGACTTTGTAGGAGCTGCCGCAACAGATGATACACAAAAAAACTGCGTGATGCTAACTAAACCTCCATGGACCGTGCAAGATCTAGGTGACAAACAGTACTGAATACCAGAACCATGGGAAGTCTCCTGCCCCGATCGAAGGTAAGGCGAAGATAGTGGCTGCGGCTGCCTGGCTCTGAGCGAGGCTCTGCATGAAGGTGTACGGGTAAGCATACTTCGGTACTGTGCTCTGTGTAAGCATCCCCCTTTAGAAACCACACGGTAACCGCGATATTTGACACTCAGCAAGATGCTTGAGGTACACAAATGGACTTTCAGGTCCTCAAGGTGGCCAAAACTGAGTCCCTGCAACGTCTGCCTTTGCCTGTTGAAACCCTGAACCGGTCAAATTCGGGCAGTGCGGCGGAGCTGGTGAGAACTTCGCAGCCTCGAGCAGTCTACATGCAAACAATCCACATTTTCCGCAGTTTGCAACATGGCATGTGGTTTATCAACCAGGTTCCTGCCTCGCTGGGTCCTGACAAAGAGCGCGGACGTGCTACCTGGCGAGGATACGTCAGCATGTCTCTCGAGCGAGTGACAGCAGCCTGCCCACCAAGACCACACTACGCAAAGCTCCTGGATTTCTGGTCATGGCCATGTATCATTGCTCAGAAGTGTGGGCTCCAGGGAGACGTTAACAAAAAGGCAGACTGTGTAGTTTTTGGCGGTATGACCTTAAGTGATCAGCTTCTTCTCACAAGGCCTCAGGCACTGAAGCCTCACTTGGCACTGCGCCAGCGGCCGCAAGCTGCACCTCGGAAGAACCCTTTTGGAGCTCTGCTTTTTCAGTATAAGGAGATTGGAGTTCTATGGTATTCCAGTCGTGTAGTCTCCCAAATTCCAGTTTTTGTTCTGAGGTTGGCTTTTCGAACAGTTGCCATAGCCGCGGCTGCTGCTTTCCGAACGGTACCAGTAATGGTAGTATCAGCCGTGGCGGTGGTCCTCAGACTAGTATTACCAGGGCAAACATGTCACAGTGTCCATGGGAAAACCACCCTTCAGTCTCCTGATTTTTCATGGGACCACGTGTTACTTTCAGCCCGTGACCCCTGAACCCTTTCACAACACAGGGTCTATGGTCATTTACTCTGCTGTAAGTGATCCTGGCGGAAATTCTGCAACAGGGTAGAAGACTTGAGTAGAAGAAATTCAAGAACAGATGCTGACAGACAATGGCAGACGTGTGTTGTTGCAAATACACCTAGAAGAACTGAAATCGTTTCAGAGCTACAAAATGACAAGCTGAATACAATATTGCGGCAGCACATGCCATTCTGAACCCTAAACAAACCATGCCAAAGCTGAGGTAAGTGCTGCAGCTACGAGAGCAGCGGATGGTGCCGAAGCAGTTCCTGCAAAGCAAGAAGGAGTCTTGAGAAATATTCTCACCGAGGGTTCATGCGATTGAGGCTGTTCCATGACGCACCCCAAAGCCCCTACCTAATGTCAAATGTGTCCTCCAAGATATTTGGAGTGGATCAATTCCACGATGCTGATGGGTTCGATGTAAAGTGAACCACACGCATGCTGAACACGACAACATTCCTTGAACATTCCCTGATGAGAGCAGGACATCTTTGGGGGTCCTGTGTCAAACTTCTGGTGCTGTTTGAAATACTTGAATCAAGTGAACGGAGATTTGGATGCTTCCAGGGACTTGATCCTGCCTGAGCAGTACACATGGGGCCATCTGCAAAAAGAAGAACTGTTGAGAAGCCCTTCTCAAGACCCGAAACTCTTGAAGCCGCATGTCCACCCGAGAAACAGATGGCGGCTTGGAGGCTTCATGCGCCAAGAAAATGTAGATTCTGTCCTTAAAAAATATCCATATTGTGGAGTCATGTTGGGTGCCTGTAGACGGCATATGGAATGTCTGAGCAACCACAATGCAACCATACATCCCTGACTAAGTCTACACACTGCCATATGGTTGAGAAGTTCATATGACCTTAAAGCCTTCAAGATGCAGAGTGCCCGGCCGGCTGATCCGTCCGATTCCGCCAAGGCCCTTCAAAAACAGAGAATTGAGGACTGTCCAAGTAAGAAGACAACAATGCTGGTTCGAAAAGGGGGGGGGGTGCTTTGTAGGATCCTGATCATAAGATATCAAAAGACAGATACACATACGCGTATCTTGAGGGTGTGCAAATGAACTCCAGCTGTGCAGTAAAGCAAGAATAAGAGCTGCAAGATGAAGGCAGACGGTGAACCCTTCCCCTCAACGGCACTCGAAGACCAGGGTAAATTCCAAATGCAAGATTCCAAACATGAAGGGACCCAAGAGGTGCATCCTGATAAATCGCGATTTCTTGCACTCTTTAAAGAGGAAACTTTCCTGACCCTGGTGGAATACTGTTTTGATTTTTACGAGTACTCTTGCTGCTACCACTGCTCCTCCTACTACCACTACTACCACTACTACCACCACCAGCTACTACCATTGCCATTGCTCAAAAACTTTCTCCAAGGAAGGATAGTAGCCGTGTAGCCTGTGGCTTTTGCCGGGGCCCCAGCTTTGGACCAAGTCTTGGGCCGGCGTTCCTTGGTTACACTCAAGTCTCCTTCCACCGTTGCCTGGCAGCTTCCCGAAATAAAGACCAGGACGTACAAGGTAGTATCAGATATGGGATGGTAGAGAGCCGAAACTTTCCAAAAATCTCACTTGGTGCTGAAGTTGCTACTGGAGCTTTCAGAACATTCAGAAACATAGAAGCTTCTCGAACATTATCCTGCCCTGTACCTCATGTAGTGATCCAGTTGCGTATCCCAAGAACAATGCAGGCCAGGCTTTTTCGCCCCAAGCAAATGCACTTACTCGAAAATGATTACGACATGCCAAGTCACATTCCCAGCTCTGCCTGTAAGGCAGGGGACGTCAGCGAAACGCTGTGGCCTTGGGAACACTTGAGTACGTGACACATGACATGGAAATCCTCCTGCACACTTGCAAGAAGGTCCACAGTGTAGGGACCCTAAATGGATCCACAATGTCGGGACAATCCTACTTTGCAAGCTGGCTCGGGGTGGTCCGGCAAGAAAGGTTTGTCAAGACTCTTTTCAGCACACTGATACCACTGCTGCTGAGCTGAAAGATTCAGATACCAAGCAACACACTTTTTTGTATTCTTTTAAGTGGAGAACTCCGCTCTGTTTGCACTAGAGCACTCCACTTTTACAAGCACAGGTAACGGGAAGACAGGATTGACTTGACGCAGCACTACTTTCTGTTAAGCCTGCCAGGTATCAAGTGCAGCGCAAAGCCAGATAAGATAACAATGACAGTTTCTGGGGGATGGGAAGGGAACCTGCCTCGATGAGAGGCACGCCTTTTGTCAGGCTGTAATGAACCGAGCAGAGCTTGAAAGGGCCGTATAGCCTGAAGAACCTCTACGTCTGCCTGACAGAAGCAGCGCCGGGTGCTGAGTGCTCTGCAGGTGCATTGGCTGAGTCAGTAACCGCTGCTCTGATCGGAGATGGCTGCTTCTGATGCTGCTTTTCAGGACAACAGGCTTTTGGATTCTGGATTGAACCACGGCCTGAAACTCTGACCTTTCCTGACGACAAAGCGCACATCTTT